GTCCAACATGTAAAAAGCTTGAAAGTCAGCATTTCTATCATTTAACTAGAAAAAATTCTTAAGAAAACGTAAAGTCAACAAGAGAATAGATGTCAAGGGAAAACTGAAAAAAAAAAAAAAGGAAAAATACCTGTTGCCATCAAGTAAATTCCAATTAAGATGCTGTAGGTTAATATGCTAGACAGCAAGGTTGCTTTGAACCAGAAGGTCAGCAGTTCTGGCTCACCAGCCTCTCCTCAGAAACCCTGTACAGGGTCAGCATGGGTCAGAACAAACTCAATTGCTCTTAACAGCAAAACATTTGTTTGCTGCTCTCAAAATTAAAGAGATAGGAAGATAAAGAGTATCACAAGTAATTTGAGCAAGAACCCCACAGCTGGAACTAGTGCCTTCAGAAATGCAAACTTTAAGAGATAAATTGCTGGAGGCTCAGTATGGATTAGCTTCTGTCAGAACTGGGGGAAGGGGAAACAAGGAAACAAAATTTTATGAGAGCTCCCACACTTTCCTGAGTTTTTCCTCCTAGAATCCCACCAGGTTCTCATAGTGAATCTTAAGAGTCCTAAAGGGGGACTGGAAATGTAACAATTTTGAAATATCCTTAGAGCTGTCTGGTCTCCTAAACAAACAACTGCCCTCAACAGAAACTATACCACCTTGAATGCACCTGATCTCGTCTGATTTTGGAAGCTAAGCAGGGTCGGCCCTGGTTAGTACTTGGATGGGAGACTGCCTGGGAATAACTGGTGCTGTAGGCTTTAACAAGGAGCTCTGGTACGTAGTGGTTACAAATCGGGCTGCTAATCTCACAGTGAGCAATTCAAAACTACCAGCTGTTCCATGGGAGAAGGATGAGGCTTTCTGCTCCTGTAAAGACTTACAGCCTCGGAAACCCTTAACAACAATAACAACAACCAAGATGAAGAGATTTCATGTTTCATATTTCAGATATGGTATTAGGAGGGACCAGTCCCTGGAGAAGGACATGATGGTTGATAAAGTGGAGGGTCAGCAATAATGAGGAAGACCCCCAAGGAGATAGAATGGCATAGTGGCAACAACAATGGGCTCAAGCATAACAATTGTGGGGGAAGGGGAGTCTTGCCAGAAAGACAGCATACGTAACTTTCATAGAAGATTAAAACAATGCATACCTTACAAGATTATTTGAAACTAGCACCAGGGCTTCTGTGAGGCATAAAATGTAACCTCAGAGACCTAGATGCGACTCATCCTCAAACTGACAACCACTGCTGTATTGTCTTGTAAAAGCACTATTTAATAAACTTCTCCAGCATCAACAAATACGCTTCTAGACACATCTCTGGTGATCCCGAACACTAGGGACTGTGTTGCCCCCTGGGACTCTCTGTACTATCCAGATTCCCTAAGCACAACAATTACGTTCTTAAGAATAGCTTAAAAGATCATGAGAAAAAATATGACAGAACTGCAAGGAGAAATCCACTATTATAAATGAAGACTTCAGTACGTCTCTATTATGGATCAGACTGTTCCCAAAAGAAGTTATGGAAAAGTCCTTACCTCTATATCTGTAAATATGACATTGTTTGGAGACTTGTTATATTAGGCAGGTTATACCAAGAAGGTGTAGTTCTGGTGTGGCGGTGTGGGCTAATGTGTCAGACTGCAAAGTCATTTGAACTACAAGGTCTGTGGTTCAAGCTCACCAGCTGCTCCTTGGAAACCCTATACAGGGTTTCTGTGGGTCAGAATCGACTTGACAGCACTTAACAACAACCACCAAGAAGGTAGACCCTTAACCTAACTACTTCTCAGTTGTTGTTAAGTGCCATTGAGTTGGTTCCAACCTATAGCAACCTTGTACAGGGTTTCCAAGGAGCAGCGGATGAGCTTGAACCAATGCTGACCTTGTTGTTCAAATGACTTTGCAGTCTGACACATTAGCCCACAGCACCACACCACGACTCCTGAGTGGTGTCTTATAAAAAAAAAGCAGAATAGACACAAACACATATACAGGGGCAAGAGAGATTTCAATGAATGACAAGGAACCCCTGGATTAGCAGACCCTCCCGTACAGCTGATGGCTCTGATTTGGATTTCTGGTCTTCAAAGCCACCCACGTTGTGGTGTTTCATTTTCGGCAGCAGTAGTTAATTCAAACACCCTATCAGTAATTGACAGATCCAGGAGGCATAAAATCATTAAGTAAATAGTTGAACTGAACAGCATTATCAACCAAATGAATCTAACTGACAGTAATAGAACATTTCGTCCAACAAGAGTATAATATATATTCTTCTCAAATATTCATCAAGATAGACCATAAAACACATTTTAACAAACTTAAAAGAATAGTAATTATGCAAAGCCTATTCTCAGACTACAATGGAATTAAGCCTGAAATCATAATCAGAGAGATGGCTGGAAAACCCCCCAAAACATAGACATTATACACGTTTCTAAACATAAAAACAATTTTAAATATCACATGGGTCAAATCAGTCCCCAAAGAATTTTAAAATAATTTCAACTAAATAAAGATTCAAATTCAATCATCAAAGCTTCTACTTTAGTAAACTAGAAAAAGGAGAACAAACTAAATCCAAAGCAAGCAGAAGAAAAAAATTAAGAGTAGAAATGAATGAAATTGAAAAACAAGGAAAATAGTAGAGAAAATCAATGAAACCAAAAACTGGTTCTTAGAAAAGCTCACTAAAACTGATAAATCTCTAATCTCGCTAACTAAAAAAGAGAGAAGACACAAATTATTAATATCAGAAATGAAAGAAGAGCCAGCACTACTGATGGCATGAACAAGAAAAAGAACAGTATGAACAACTCTGCGTACTAGTGTGCTATAGCACAGGGACTATTTCTAATGAGGCCCGCACTTCCTTATTATCAAAATCAGACCAGAAATCACATCAACAGGCTAAGGTATAAAATGCTTATGATAACAATAGATGCAGAAAAAGCATTTGGCAAAATCCAACACCCATTATTGATAAAATCTCACAGCAAACTAAGAATAGAAGGGAAGTTCCTCAGCTTGATAAATAACCAGCTACAAAACAAACTTAAAGCTAATATATTTAATGGTGAGAAATTAGATATCCCCCTCAAGTCAGAAATGAAACACAATGCCCTTCCTCATTACATTTATCTAGCTAATGAAAAAGCAAATAGAGGGTATATTTTGTAAATAACATGATTATCTATAAAGAAAATCTCAAAGAATCAATTTTAAAACTCCCGATTGTTGTTGTTGTTGTTGTTGTTGTGTGCCATCGAGTCGGTTCCGACCCATAGCGACCCTGTATAGGGTTTCCGAGGGTGTAAAACTCCCGATAGTAATGTATAATTATAACAAAGTTGCTAGCTGGAATCTGAAGATTAACATATAACGCACAAAACAATGAATTCTTTAAGTATAAAGCTAACAACAAAAAAAATAGACAGTCTCTATATGAGAGGAGTCCTGGTGTGGTGCTGTGGGTTAATGTGTCAGACTGCAAAGTCATTTGAACTGCAAGGTCAGCGGTTCAAGATCACCAGCTGCTCCTTGGAAACCCTATACAGGGTAGCTATGGGTTAGAACTGACTCAATGGCACTTAACAACAACAACATCTACATGACAAAAATTACAAAACTCTGATGACTGAAATCAAAGTAGATCTAAATTGTTGTTAAGTGCTATTGAGATAGTTCCAACTCATAACGACCCCGTACACAGTTTCCAAGGAACAGCTGGTGAGTTTCAATCATCAACCTCATGATTCAAACCAATTTTGTGGTGTAGTGCTTATCCTAGAGTGACACACCAAAACTGCAGGATCTGAATAAATGGGTCCGCCAGCCCCTCAGAAACTCTACACAAGGTCGCTATGAGTCAGAACGGACTCGGCAGCATTTAACATCCACATGAATTTCCAAAGAGCAGCTGTGGGTTTGAACTGCCAACTGTGTGAGAGATGGAGATCACCTCCTAGGTAACAGGGACCCAGCTGCAAGCCCGGAAGTCTACATGACTCTCTCCAGATAAGAAGGTCCCAAATGGTTTTCCTCTAACCCATCAGGGAGCCAGCCACAAGTCCAGAAGTTTGAATGATTTCCTATATTTCAGACGAAACTATTCTCCTAGCTTCTTTGTGTCAGATGTTGTTAAGTACCGTGGAGTTGGTGCCAACTCACAGTGACCTTGCACAGGGTTTCTGAGGCTGTAAATCTTTGTTGTTGTTGTTATGTGCCGTGGAGTCTGTTCCAACTCACAGCGACCCTGTACAGGGTTTCCGAGGCTGTAAATCTTCATGGGAGCAGAAAGCCTCATCTTTCTTCCATGGAACAGCTGTAGTTTCGAACTGCTGACCTTGAGGTTAGCAGCCCAATCTCTCTGAGCTCCAAGGAGATATGTTATCTGTGATAACTGCTTCAACAGAACAAAAAAAGATGCATAGGGTAAGGTCTGTTGTTGTTAAGTGGCTGGTGAGTTTGAACCTTGTGGGTCTAACCTACTTTAAATCCCAACACAGTAACCCAAAGCACCAATGGGTGAGGTCTAGGAGGAGTGGATCCAATGCCCTAAGGGAAAAATCCTCTCCTCTGGGAGGTCACCAATTAGGAGGCTGTGGCGCTGTCTGATAATGCACTGGACTGCAAGGCCTACGGGTCAGAATCGATTCCAAGGCACTTAACAACACCCCTCACTATTTCTCTGACCTCAATCAACAACCCACCTTCTCCTTAACACAATGGTTTCTTTATTGGTTCCTGAAAGCACCGTGCATAACCTGCTTCTGGGCCTTTGCACACATTCCTCCTGAGACTTAAGTGCTACATTTTTATAAACATTTTTCAGCTGGGGAATCTGAAGCTGGGGAATAAAGATGTTAAGTTACTTGGCCAAGAAAGCGGCAGAACAAAGATGGAAACTATTTGGTTCTGAGGTCCATGCAAAATAACTCTACACCTTACAAATACTAAATACTTAAGAAAAAGATAGAAAATGTCTTACTTTTCAACCCAGAGCACTGAAACAAGCTTTACTCCTTTCTTCAGTGCTTTGTCCCAAGTGCTCTGGTATCCGTCTTTGAATACAACGTGGGTCACTTGTTTGTTAAAAGTTTTTGAAACCTGTAGGCAAAATACAGAAAACAAAATGTAAATTACTACTACTCACACACAATTCCATATCAAAAGGATCAAAAAGATACTTTATCAGTCTTTATCAAAATAAAATTACCTAAAACCCAACCGCTCCTTGGGAGAAAGATGAGGCTTTCTGCTCCCGTAAAGATTTACAGCCTTGGAAACCCTGTACAGGGTCGCTATGGGTCGGAACCGACTCGATGGCACTTAACAACAACAAAAACCCAACTCCAACAATTCTGTTTCTCAGAATCCTTCATAGAAAAATACTCTTAACAAATGCATAAACTGTTTGAAACTATTAAACATGATATATTACGCACATTTTTACACTCTCTTCACTCCTTCACACACACAAATTCTGTTGTTGTTTTTTTAAGTGCCATCGAGTTTGTTCCGACCCATAGCGACCCTGTATATGGTTTCCAAGGAGAGACTGGTGAGCTTGAATCACTGGCCTTGTGGCTCAAACCAACTTTGCAGTCCAGCGCACTGAATACTACTAAAAGAATTCAACAACTCTGAGCTCCACAAGGATAAGGAGAAAAGAAAACGAGATGGCAGCACTTTAGAACTAGATGCAAAGAGCAGTAGTTGAGTCAGAAGATAAAAAGTCTAGTCAATGATAAAGTACATTAAACGAAAGCTTTCAACATCACAGGCATGAGACAAAGCATTGGCAAACAGAATAGATAACTACTTTAAAAATAAAAACACATTTTTAATATCATCAGAAGATATTGTTTCCTTGCAACAATATCAGATTATTTTTGTAAATGATCAGAAAACTAAAGAGCTTGGAAATAAAAAATTTTAATGCAAATGTTAAGACAAAACAATTGAATAATTAGAGAAGATAAATAAATGAAAAAAGAAAATCAGGAGGACTAACAGCCATGTAATTAAGAGTTGAAGGAATATATAAGCAGAGAAAATGAAAATAAATGATAAGTCAGTTGTCTTAAGTTTTTTCTCAACTTGAAGAGCAATAGTCCTGGACTGTAAAGATCCCCTCAGGAGCCATCATAACAAATGAAAATACTATCAGACCAAAGCATATCACCATGAAATTTTAGTACAACCAGAATAAAGTTATTAAAAACAGTGAGTATGAGAGTGGAAAAGGTGAAAATAAATCAGATTCAAACAATGAAAATTAAGAATGGCATCACACTTAGCACTAGTTTTAAAATCAAAATATAATGAACAGCCTTCAAAAAACAAAGGAAAAAGAATATTCAGTCTAGTTAAAGTATCAATCAAAGGCAATGGTAAAATAAAGGCATTGTCAGACACTAAGTATATCAAAATCTTTACCTCTTATGAACCTTCTCCAGAGAGGGGGCAATCATGGCTCAGTCAGAAATATTCATTCAGAACTCATTATTCATGAGTTCAATTCCCAGCCAATGCACTTCATGTACAGCCACCTGTCATTGGAGACTTACTTGGTGGTGGTTGCGGTTATGTGCCATGGAGTTAGTTCCGACTCATAGCGACCCTATATAGGGTTTCTGAGGCTGTGAATCTTTATGAAAGCAGAAAGCCTCATCTTTCTCCCACAGAATACCTAGTAATTTTGAATTGTGGTCCCTGCGGTTAGCAGCCCAATTAGTAACCACAATACTACCAGAGCTCCTTGTTGTTTAAGATACTGAAAAGGTTTCAGTGGAGCTTCTAAATTAAGATTGGATAAGAAAAAAAAGACATGACAATCTACCAGTGAAATCAGCCAGTGAAAACTCTACGGATCACATCAGTCTAACCTATAACCCATCGTAAGGATAGTAAAGGACAGGAGAAAGTTTCATTCCCTGGTGCATGGGGTCATGATGAAATGGGAGCTGACTTGATAGCAGCTAACAAACAAGCTTTTAGAGGTGTGAAAGTGACTATCCCTCTGAAAATATAGACAAGTGCAGAGCTGAGGATTGCTGGTTTCTGTTTTATTTTTATTATGAACTATTTTAAAGACTGTAAATGTATTACTTTCATAAAATTAAAATTAAAAACCAGGCACATGGCAACTTCTTCCAGCATGATGATCCTAATTCAGCATGCATGCGAAAGCTGGGCAATTAATAAGGAAGATCATAGAAGAATTGATGCTTTTGAGTTATGGTGTTGGAGGAGAATATTGAGAGTGCCATGGACTGCCAAAAGAACCAACAGATCTGTTTTGGAGGAAGTGCAGCCAGAGTGCTCCTTGGAGTCCAAGATGGCCAAACTTCATCTCTCATACTTCGGACATATTGTCAGGAGGGACCAGTCGCAGGAGAAGGATATCATCTTTGGTAAGATGAAGGGTCAGAGAAAAAGAGGAAGAATCCCAACAAGATGGACTGGCCAAGTAGCAGCATTTGTGGACTCAAGCGTGGCAACACTAGTGAGGGCTGGCCCAGGATCGGGCAGTATTTTGTTCTGCTGTGCATAAGGTCACTATGGATCGGTACTGATTCGATGGCACCTAACAACAACAACAACATCTTACTGAGGACAACTAAAAGAGATAAACTACAAACAAATATTCTTGTTCTACAGAGCTAATAAGACAGTAAAGAATTATTGGGCCAAGAGTCTAGAAAACTGACATTCAGTGAGATGAGTCTAATTTGGGGCTGATTTTTCCCAGGACTTTGCCAAATTTATCAAAAAGTAAGCAGCATGTCTAAATGTCTCTCAGGATTATTGTTGTTATTAGGTGCCACCGAATCAGTACCAACTCATAGCAACGTGATGCACAACAGAATGAAACACTGCCCAGTCCTGGGCTAACCTCACAATCGTTGTTATGCCTGAGCCCACTGATGCTGCCTGTGTGCCAATCCATCTCGTTGGGAGTCTTCCTCTTTTTCTCCAATCCTCCACTTTACCAAACAAGGTATCCTTCTTCAATTATTGGTCCCTCCTGACATGTCCAAAGTATGAAGTATGAAGTCTGGCCAACCTGGCTGCTAAGGAGCACTCTGGCTATGCTTCTTCTAACAAAGATCTATTTGTTCATTGGGCAGTTCATAGAACTTTCAATAGTCTTCTCCAACACTATAACTGAAATCCATCAATTCTTCTATGGTCTTCCTTATTCACTGCCCAACTTTCTTATGCATATGAGGTTACTGAAAATACCATGGCTTGGTTTAGGTGCACCTTATTCCTCAAACTGGTATCTTTGCTCTTGAACACTTTAAAAATTTTAGAAAAAGAATTGTGGTGGTGGTTGTGTATCATGGAGTTGGTTCCAACTCACAGCAACCCTGTACAGGGTTCCGGAAGCTGTAAATCTTTATGGGAGCAGAAAGCTTCATCTTTCTCCCGCAGAACAGCTGGTAGTTTTGAACTGTTGACCTTGAGGTTAGCAGCCCGATTCATAACCAGTATGCTACCAGAGCTCCTCTTGGAAAAATTAAATCAAAGAGATAGCTAAATCATAATACTGACCAGGCTTGCTGTTGTTAGGAGTTGTTGAGTAGCTTTCCACTCATAGTGACCCTATGAACAACAGAACGAAACACTGCCTGGTCCTGCACTATCCTCACAACTGTTATGTTTGATACCATTGTTGCTGCCACAATGTCAATACATTTCATTGGGGGTCTTTCTCGTTTTCTCTACCTTCTACTTTATCAAGCAGAATGTCCTTATCCAGGGACTGATCCCTCTTGAAAACATGGCCAAAGAACAAGGGAGGAAGTCTCACCATTCTCACTTCTAAGGAGCATTTTGGCTGTACTTCTTCCAAGATAGATGCATTTGTTCTTCTGGCAGTCTATGGTAATTTCAATATTGTTCTTCAACATCATAATTCAAATACATCAGTACTTCTCTAGTCTTCACTGTTCATTATCCAACTTTCACAAGCATATGAGGTGATTTGAAAAGGCCTGGGTCAGGCACACCTTAGTCCTCAAACTTTAAAGAGGTCTTGAACAGCACATTTGCCTAATGCAATACTTCATTTGATTTCTTGACTGCTACTTCCATGAATGTTAATGAATTCAAGGAAAATGAAGTCTTTAACAACTTCAATCCTTTCTCAGTTTATCATGTTATCTATTGGTCTAGAAATGAGGATTTTTATTTTCTTTACACTAAGGTGCAACCCATATTGGAAGCTATAAAGTTTGATCTTCATTAGTATTTCAAGTTTTCTTTACTTCCAGCAAGCAAGGTTATGTCACCTGCATATCCCAGATTGTTAATGAATCTTCCTTCAGTCTTGATGTAATGTTCTTCTTCATATAATCCAGCTTCTTGGTTTATTTGTTCAGCATATACAATCAATAAGTATAGTGAAAGAATATAACCCTGGTGCACATTTTTCCTGATTTAAAACCATTCAGTATCCCCTTGTTCGATTTTAGTATCTGCCTCTTGGTCTATATGCAGGTTTCTCGTGAGTACAATTATGTGTTTTGGAATCCCCATTCTTCACAATGTTATCCATAGTTTGGTACGATCTACACAGTCTAATGCCTTGCATAGTCAATAAACCACAAGTAAACATCTTTCTGGTGTTCTCTATATTTAGCAAAGAATCATCTGATGTCAGTAATGATATCACTCGTTCCACGTCTTCTTCTGAGTCCCTGTAATTTCTGGCAGCTCTGTCAATGTACTGTTGCAACCATTTTTGAGTTATCTTCAGCAAAATTTTACTTTCAAGTGATATTAACGATACTGTTAGATTATTTTCACAATCCATGATGTCACCTTTCTTTGGAATAAGCACAAATGTAAATCTCTTCCAATTGGTTGGCCTTCCAAATTTCTTGGGATAGTGAGGGACACCAGTTCTGTATCAATTTCTTTATTAAATCTTGAATCATTTCAATTAGTAATTTATTAATTCCTGGAATCTTGCTTT